TTTCTCGATTGTTGCAAAACTAACTTCTCAATTGTATTCGTATTTTCAGATATCTAAGCACAACCACGAAGCAATCAAGCTCATTTTCGACTCGTGTCGTGGAGCAATCGATTCCAGCCTAGGTTCGCCGAGAGCTTGGGCTCTTGACGGATATGAAGACGAGCACTTCAGATATCAACCGATATCTGTCGAAGCAGCTTGGTGGGTCCCAGTGATGAGATTGTTGCTGTAGTTGTTTTGCTTTCATATTTACTAACATTCATTTAATTTATTGATCACTTATTCTTATAAATGGTACAGTTTTATCTCCCCAGCAAACAAGAAATATTCTTAAGCAAGTACTGGGAAGTACGACACTTGAGTAGACGAAAACTATTTTGAATGCGTTTGTGGATGGAGATGTTAGCAACGACGTTCTTTTCGTTAAGGATCAAATGGATATTACGTGCGTGATTGCTATGCAAACATCAATCCAAAAACAAGTGTTTCTTCCAGTGGGGCGACACTATGGTAATGGATTTGACTCACGGGACAAACAACCTGGGATATCATCTGGGTAATATCCTTAGTATGGATTAACATTCTCCCTTTGTTGAAAAGCATAGGTTATAATGTTTGGAACTCTCTCTCTCTCTCTCTGTTGGGTTTCACAGGTAGTCTCGTCGTAACGACGGCAACGGGGAGACCGATTCCCGTTATTGACTTCCTAGCATTCGACCAAAAGTCTGTCACAATGGAAAATATTGCGAAGTTCTTCAAGAGGGAAGATTCGTCTTGGAGGTCAATTCAGCAGATCATCATCGATAAGAATTTTGTGGAATGGCGGGTGTTGGATAAGGCGTTTCCAGACGCCAAGGTCCTTCTGTGCCAGTTTCATGTGCTGACGTATTGGCGCAAAATCTGCAAGCGCGACAAGCTTAGTATGAAGGTGACGAAAAGAGACACAATAGAATCTGCATTCGCCAAACTCATCTATTGGTGAGTGCTTAGCTGCTAATGTATTATGTTGCTTGGTGTGTCACTGACATACTATGTTGCTTGGATGTCGCTGACCTACTGTGTTGCTTGTTGTGTTGCATAAAGTAAATTGTAGTCAACGTTTGATTCCGAGGTTGACACCCTTCAAACATACGTGCAAGGCGCCATGAACTGCGCTACTGACGTATTTTGAGAAAAATTGGGATACATTTGCTGATATGTGGGCTGAGCACGCAAGAGGAAGGTACTTAACAGCTGGAAATACCACTACGAACCGAACTAAATTTAATTGGAATCAACTGAAGCCTCTCCCTGGGAAATGTCCCCGGCTTGACGCAACAATTGATGGGGTTTTAGCTCATCAAGCCACAATTACCAGAAATTCGTCACAGCAATGCACACAAATTCAGCAAAATCGCGACACCCCGACGTCGTTCCCGAAATCTATCGCTTGTGGCCCCTCGTTTGAGCGACTCGATGCTTGGTAAAGTTCGATCGCAATGGGATTATGACATGATTGCTTTGCCTCGTACAACCTGTTTGAAACGTGGGTCCGAAATGAGTGAATGGGAACGGAAAACAAGTTATTACACGCATCAATGCAACGACTTTCAGTAGTCGTGTTCATGTTTGTTTTATTGCAGCTACAACCTTCCCTGTCAGCATTTGGTGTATATTGCTGGAAAAGTGCATCGCTCGAAAGTCTTCCATGATCGAACATTCCCCGACGTTGGGATATGATGGACATGTCCAACATGATCCAAGACTTTATAGAAAGGTGCGCAATGCTCCAGGCCGTTCAAGATACGATGCGAATTGCAAGCGAGGCATTCACACGCGACGGCCTAACGCAACCTTCAGAATCTTACAAATTGCCTGAAACAACACAGCCGTCCGAAGTAACACATGGTATTCAACACAACGTACAATATTGAGGTCACCGTCGGCATCAACATTGCATGAAGTGAGTACAAAAGCCGT